GAACCAGGACCTCGGTGATAGCTAGTACATATGTACAGTATTGCTGGGCAGAGAGATAGACTCTCAATTGACATCTTTCAGCACTTAATCAGTGGGACTGTGAATAGTTGCAACCAGTGAGAACAGATGTAGAAGTGTGACACATCTTGTGGTAGAGAAGTTTGACAGCAAACCCTCTCATTTACCTCACTATAGCAGCGTTACAAGTGAAATTCACTCAGAGGTGAAAATTCCCAGTACAAAGGGTTTTGCATTGCTGCTTCTTACTTCAAAAGTATTGTGAGACTAGTTGGACTTTTTTTTTTAAAGTGTCGGTGACACTATAGCTCCTTTTCAGAAAAAAACCTTCCCCAGCGCAAATAAGGGAATTTTCTTCTAAGAAACCACTACCACTAGTTATTAATTTCAGAAAAAACAAAGAACAAAAAGAAGAAAGAAGTCTTCCAGATGAAATGGAACAGATTCATGAAATTCATATGAAAAGCTGATAAAATTGCATATATTTTTCTTTTATAGGGCCTTCCTGGCAAAGATGGACCCACAGGCCCACAAGGACCTCCTGGCCCAATGGTGAGTGTTGCTCATGGAATTCATTACTGTAAAAGTCAGCAGGATTTTGGGGGATTGTAGGAATCTATCTAGGCCTGCTATCTAGGCTTCAGTGGATAGACCAAGGCCAAGGGTTCTCCTTAGAAGTTAAAATTCTAATGATGCACAAGGTTGGCAGAGAGCTGCACGTCCAGTGTCATTTCTTTCCAATCTTACTTAGCTCAAGAAAAAATGTGTCCCAGGGGAAGGGGAGACAGTTGTTCCATCAATAGATTGATAGCTGCTTCTCAGTCAAGTAACTGCACTATATAAAGGGAATTAGTGCTCTTAACATTTGAAACAAGACTTTCTTTTTCTAAGAAATTCCAATTAGGATTGTTGGTGAACTGCCAAATTTTGCTTTGTCTGGAAGCTGAAGGTGAGTGCAGGTATTCAAATGTTCTCATAGAGTAATCAAGGAAGACAGTGGAGGCCACATTCAACCTTCAAAAGAAGACGTATATTTCCTCCAGAATCAGTCTCGTCCTTCTCGGCTAAGGCAACTAGGCGAAGTTAATGCCTCCTTGATAGATTTAACGCGTTAGGTGAAACTGCTGATTGTATTTGGTATTCTCCAAGCAATCCGGTTCTTTTTACAAAGAATGTTCTGTGTCATCCCCCCTGAACACAGTAGTAATGTCACAGGATTTAGCCTAGTGGTTCAGCAATCTCTGTCTGTTCCAGAAAGCAAGCAACACAAGTCCATTTTTCTCAAGTGCTTTTCTCAGGGTTGTGCTTTTGGTGCTCTTTTTCCTGCAACATGTACTTCTCAGTCCTCTCTCCCAGCATCTCCAGTCTTTGACTGGCAGAGCTGCCTGTGTACTGTCTGCTTTGTGCACTTCTCCTTTGCACAGTTATTTCTGTCATCAGGATTCATGGATGTTAATTGTCATCACCACAGTTTTCTTTCTTTTTTTCCATGTAGGGCATACCTGGTGCACCAGGTGTTCCAGGTGTGACTGGAAGCCAGGGGCCACAAGGTGATGTTGGAGCTCCTGTGAGTGAAATTAATTAATATTGCTATATTTACTCTTGTGCATTAGTTGGTTTCTGATCCTCGCTTCACTGTTTTACAGAGCTCTTCAATATTTATACCTTATCTGTTTACAGTTAGTGGCTAAGTGAAACATCATATTCGTCTTTCTTTGTTCATTCTTCATAATTAAATTTATTTGTTGATCTTACATACAATGTTTGGAATATAGGGATTAGAGAGTCCAAACACAAGATTAAAACACAGAGGTTAAAAACATAACAGTATGTGAATTTGTAGTCTATGTGTAATTGTTTTCTTCAGTTTTTCCTTTGCACTTCAAGCAACTCTCAGGAAATTAAAGTATGCCATTTATTAACCTGAATATTTCCAAAATATTCTGATTTTCAAACTGTGAAAATATTGCATGAATAAAAAACTGGCTTTCTTGGTTACTCTGGGTTTACATCAGGACAATTGAATAATGATCAGGGCTTTTTCTAGAATGTTATTATAAATTTGACCATCAGTTTCATTGAGTGGAAAATTACACCCTCTATATCTAAAATTAGTATTAGGAACCTCTAATACTAGGTTATCTTTCAGATATTATTTTCTGTGTTACTAAAAAAACCCAGTTTAACTAGAAGGAATGAATACAACTATAAAATGACTGTGTAAATTACTTAAAAGAGAAGATATACACTGGACCTCGTTTTCTCTGTAACAGTTCAGATAATATTGTGTATTCACACTTTAACATTTGGCCACTTGGTTAATTATAAAGCCTGCTCAATTTTTTTTCCATATATCACAGTGAATGTTCTATTTAATTTTTAAAGACATCAGAATGCGACAGTGTCTATTTCTGACTTGATTTGGAGAATTGAAATTTTTTTTTCCAAAATCCAGTCTGCTTTGGAGATTTAGTCCAATGCAAGCATTTTTATTTGGCTAAGTGGAAATGAAATGACTGATAATATATAAGCAAAGATAATAACCTAATGTCCAGTTCTGCATAGTTTCTAAATGTAATCATGAAATCTGCTAAGGAGATTTGATGAGCTATGGAACTTATTACTATCAATGTATAACATGCTGAGTATTCAGTTCCTGTCCAGACACATGTTCCAGATATTGAACAAAATTTCCTAGAGTGTAGATATTCCTGTGAGTCACGTAAGACCTCTGCTGTGAATGTTTATACTCTAGTACTTCTGAAAAAAACAGCTAGGTGGGTGAAAAATTATTGAGTTTCAATAACTGTCTTTTCCAAAAGGCAGAGTAATAGAAAAGAGATCTAGAAATAGTCTTGCAGTCTTTGTAGGAGTTTCTTCTTTCCCAGGATAGAATAAGCTTTGCTTTAACCATGTATCAGTCAGCTGTTTACTTCTTCATGCAAACCTTTCTTGCTTCAGGAGTTCCTGAGAGATGTTTAGCCTACGCCAAAAACCTCCATTGGTGAAGTTGTAACTGCCCTGGACAACTTATTCCAATCTATAATGGTCCTGACCATCATTACAGTATTACATTATCTTTAATGTCGTATTTAATTTTCTGTGCAGTTCAATCCCACTGCTGACTCTGTTCATAGTGGATGCAGAGCCTCAGTACAGCAAATGCTACAAATTTCAGACTGATATTTTCTCTCCAACCAGCCTTCTCTTCCTTATTCTCAGTGATAATTAGACCCATTTCAGCCATGTGAAATGCATCATCTGGTGGCCTGCCCTTGCTGCCGTTTTAAACAAGAGAATTCAGTAACAACCCCCTGAGAAAGTCATTGTTGCCATGTAACTGCCAAAGGTGAACATTTTGTTGAGTACTGAAATGGAAAAAGTATATTCGTTATTGTCACATAGCCTGAAACCTTGTTCCTTGTTTATTTTTTCTTCTTTTACTGTGATGCTGCAAGGGAGACAATATTTAGGTGTTAAAAAATTTGAGCGAGAACAAAATGGGAATTGATTTTGTATTGAATCTTTTCATAGGGTCCTCCTGGAGCAAAGGGTGAAAGGGGTGAGCGGGTAAGTCTATGTTCACATTAGCCACCATTTTTTTTCCTGTCTGGCCTTTGGTCTCATAAAAAGCTTTATCCAACAATTTGTGTTTCTCTCTGTTTACAGGCACAATAGTTTTTTTTTCTGTGCAATCAAGCAAACTTTCCTTCTTTTCCAGACATTGTCGTATATATAGTTACATTAATGTTTTGAAGGTGAGAAATACGTGGCATTAAGCATGTCCCCAGATCTCTCATTAGGGTTATCTTCTCAGACCTCTGTTTGCTGGCTAAAAACAGAGTAATGGGAACCAGGGAAATCCCAAAACTTCTTTGGGATTTTTTTCTCATTTTTGAGGATGTAAAGTCTCAGGGATAATAAATGACTTTCATTGCTCTAAGCATGTTCAAGACAGAAATGATGCAAAAAATTGTGTTATGACACTGCTGCTGTTGTTATCTAGGGTGATCTCCAGTCCCAAGCAATGGTGCGTGCTGTTGCTCGTCAAGTGTGTGAACAACTCATCCAGGGTAAGTACATCAATAGTTCATATGCTCCTATCACTAGAATAGATCTCTTCCTGCCACAATTACTTAAAAATATGATACTTTTGAAAGCATCCAAGGGGATCTGTTTGTTTTAGGCTAGACAGTCAGGATTTATGTTCCAGCTAGATTTATGTTCAACTGGATTTATGTCCAACTAGAGCTGATTAACATCAGCCATCTAAAAAAATCCTGAATTGTCTCCAAGCTATTGTAATATACAGAAGATTCTGCTGCAAGAATTTTACATTTTTATAGATATAAAATAAAAAAAAATAATAACCAAAGCAGGAAAATAAAATGCGACACAATAGTTCTTCCGTTATCTGTGTACTCCCTAAACCACTATTCCTCCATCAACAAGTGCGTATTCATATTATCAAAGCATGACAGACCACAGCCTTGAGGACCCGCTAGTGCTCTGTTCAAGCTCAGCTGAACCAGATTCTCCACTGCAACTTGAAAATGATGACTTTTTTTGTTCCTGGCAGGTCATATGGCAAGATATAACTCAATTCTGAACCAGATTCCAAGTCAGTCTGTCTCAACACGAACCATCGCAGGACCTCCTGGTGAGCCAGGTCGACCAGGGGCTCCAGGGCCACAGGGTGAGCAAGGATCACCAGGCATGCAAGGGTTTCCAGGAAGCCCTGGTCAACCAGGAAGACCAGGAGAAAGAGGTAGGCTTTGTACTTCACATGTACAAAAATATACCTCCCTTTCCTGATACATTCTGATGGCTTTTGTCTCCTGTCTAAATGTGAGAACAACAGTCTTCTCGCTAGTTAATTGGTCAGTTCAACATAGACCATAATGAAAGCTCTGGAGACTCTCAGTTGTGAAGGTAATGCAGGTTTTGCCGAGTCTGATTTGGCAGGATCAGACAGAGGTTTAATGCTTGAATTGCTGAAGATTGGTGGCATCTAATTGGGCACATCCCATCACATCATGCTTTCATCTTAGTAGGACGCTGAAGTGAGCTGGATCTCTAAATGTATAAGCAAAGGAGCTTTTGAAGAAAGGCAGCTGCAAAACTGTTAGATCTGTGTTGGGGAAAGATTGAGATTTTCTGGTAAACTTGAAATGTGTCAGTCTGAATATTGCTAAGTTATGATCATTGGAAAGGAGCAAGGTTGATAAGAAGAGGGAAAAAAAATCCTAGTTTATGAGGGGCTGAGAGGATCAAGGGGAAGAAATGGTGAGATCAGAGAGAAGTAATACAATTAACTGTTTATTTACAAGAATTCCCTTCTGTATTCTTATATGTAGGATAGATCCCTTTCTCCTTGTGTCTACCAGCATTACCTAATAAAGAAACAAGCTCCATGTTTTTATTTACTCTCTCTTTGTGCAGCCCTGGCAGTCTTCGGTGTACCAGAGAGCACTAACCTCACAGAGGTAGTACTGATTAGATCTATAGTTGTGAAAATGCTTTGAAGACCATTACATGAAGAAGTGACCAAAACCCAAGAGACAAATGTGATATTCAAAAGTGATGAATTGATGTTGCTGTTAGAAAAACCTGCTAACTGGGATTTTAAAAATTAATTACTATGAAGGCAGTCCAGTTCAGGAGCTTAATAGTTTCAGTTCACAGTAGCCATGATGACCAGAGTTAAAGCATTGTTTTGAAAAGAGTTTGAGTGAACCTGTGAGTCTATGCGTCCTTTCTTCCCCTCAAGACTGTAATTCTAATTAGCTTCTTGAAAAAAGAGGCAAGGTTTAGGGTTCTGGGCTCTCAGTCATGCTGTTGCCTGCTCCAGCTGAACAAAGACCAGACACTGTCCAGAAAGAAGCAGCAATGAGGGAGAGGCAGACATGTAGAAAACAAAATTGAAAGAGACAGCAAGTGAGGAACTGACTTTAAAAGTGGTAACCTGGCAAGACTGAATGCAGATTTCAGGGTAGTTGCTTCCATACTAGTACTTGCGTATTTAAAATGGCTTCTCAGACAGGGGCTGTTTAAGCACACAGAATATTTTGCTGGGGCTTCAGGAATGGAGGAACCAAAATGCCAGGCTATGAAAAAGGAAATCTGTCTGGCATTTAGCATGTATTTTCCATTGTATTTGTTGTGCTGAGGCCCAGACTTGCATGTACCATGAAAGCACGGAGTGACTAGATACAGTCATTTAAATGAAACATGGTGTGGGTTAACCCACTACTGATAATATTAGTATCTGGGAAGCAGCACTGGCAATAGAGTGAGTACAGAAAGGGTAAAAATACATTAAAAAAGAATATTACTTTTTCTCTCTGTATAGATAACTGATGTCAGAAGGAGCTGATTGTGGCAGGTAGTGCTTGTGGGGAGTTTCATACTTGGTAGAAAGCTCTTATGGAGCATACTTCAAGAAGTATAATCAGTCAGCCAAAACTCTCTGCAAATTTTCATAAAATGTGATGTGAAATGTTGGGAGTGTTTTACAGTTTTTATAGCTTAAAATGAGATTGTTTTAAGAATCAAGAATCCATGTGTAAAATTAAAGACAAAATAATTGGCGAGATTATTTGGCGTGAAAATGGGTTTTAGGACATTCACGTAACTGGAGCGTTGCAGAGAATCTGGAAGGAGGAGGAAAGAGCTCATTCAGAAACTAGGTAAAAATATAGATTAACGTATTAGTCCTTGAGGATTTAATTTCTTCAGAAGCAACTGAAATTTCAGACTGATGTGTGCTTGATGTAGTGGCACTTTATTTAGCAGAAAGATGCCTTTTGAGTTGTACAGAGCCTTGGGTTATTTCAGAATCCATTTCTAAGGAATTACTCTAAGCTAACTCCAAAATGCAGCAGTGAAAAGTAAAAATTATTTTTAGCAGCTTTATGCTTGTGGAGAATGATTGGGAGTTTCTTGTGTATTCCCAAGTCTTCCTTGATTCCTAACTACTTATCATACAGTGAAGCAGTAGACTAAAATTGCTCTGCTTCTGGGAGGAAGGATTTTTGGTTTCCAGGGACTACAAGAAGGAGGGTAAGCAGACTCAGACCCCGACCTTGCTGTGTTCTCTGAAGCATTGTTTGTATTTAACTTTTACAGCAAGTCACAATGTGTAGTCCTGTCTTGAAGATATCCAGCCAGCCACTTGGAAGTCTTTAGAAGGAGGGTAAGCAGACTCAGACCCCGACCTTGCTGTGTTCTCTGAAGCATTGTTTGTATTTAACTTTTACAGCAAGTCACAATGTGTAGTCCTGTCTTGAAGATATCCAGCCAGCCACTTGGAAGTCTTTATGAAGAATGTGTTTCTTTTTGCTGATGTCATCAGCATTTTGGTTGTATATGAAGTCAATTTAATGTTCAAAACGAGTGCCAGATTAGCAACCCTGAAAGGTCAGCCTCCACCTTTAAGTACAGAAAATGCATTGCAACAGCAACAGTGGTGTCCATAGAGCATACTAAAAAGCAATAGACATTAGAAGGAAAAAAAGACCTGTTTGTTTATCTAGTAGTGGTGTTTTTTTCCCTCAGAGTTCAAACTATTGGGATTGCTGCAAGAACCTGTTACTGGCTCAGAGCTGAGGGGCAAGGTGCTGGTAGAGTGGGAAGAGAAAAGATGGGGGGAGACTAGATGTTTCTCCCTACTCACCTCTCCTGCCCACCACCCATTCAATCCCAGCGTGTAAGAAGGGAAACTTGTGAAAGCAGTGTGTGGAACTGGTTAGAAATCGTGTACCAAAGAGAGCTTTACTGGAAAATGTCAGCAGTGAGAGATCTTGACATCAGTGAACTTGCCTGGCCGATAGCTTCTTTTCCCTTTTTTAGCTTGTCACTCCGCCAAGTGTTAATCAGATGTTTTGGAAAGAGGCTTGGATTGAGAGAATGTTTTGAAGTTTTGTTAGAAATCTCCACTTGAACTTCTAGGTCCATGGTGTCCCATTCCTGGATGTATTCTCTCACTAGTAACACACTGAGCTGGTCCTTCCAAGAAAGACCACCTCAGTGAGAAAGGATAAGTCATTCCCTTGACAGATTCAGTTCTTGGTGTCTGTTGCCAGCTGAGATCTATTTTTTTCCAGTATAGACATAAGTGAATGGATTAGGATCACACTAAGACATTTATTATTTAGTTTTCCTAGCTGATTATTGTTTTAGCTGTACACTGTGAGGTCTTATATGTTGTATTTTTCTAATGATGTAAAAGAAATATCTTTCGCAATCTCAATATTTGTTAGCAATATTAACATTTTATTGGTGCCCCAACAGGCCATTTGGATTGGACGGTGATTTGAAGATTAAGGAGGCTACATTGTGTTATTATTCCCCTATAGTAGTACATAATCCCAGATAAATTACAAGAATTTTGCTGCCTTACATATTTTTATAAATATGAGTTTGGAAAAAAACAAACCTAAACACTGATTATTCACAGTACTCATCTCTATTTTAAGTTTAACTAGTTCACAGTACTGGTTTCTATTTTTATTTCAGCTAGTTCAAACATCTTTTGTTTTGATTTTATGTTTATGAACTGGGACTTAACTAGTGTCTGACTTCTGAGTGCTCAGGAAGTAGTTGTTCTGCAAAATAATATAAAAAAGTAAATATTCAGCATTTTTTTTGTTCATTTTTTCAGTTATTTTTATAATATACGTTTTATAACACATATAGTTTTCTCAACTTTGACAAAAAATGTAAAAGCAGTAGTAAAAATTATGCTGAGGCACTGCTAGCTTTCAGATGCTGTGAAAATGCAGTTATTCTTCTACTATTGGGTGGACCTCTCTTATGATGTGTCCTGAAGTGATGCACAAAACTTATGGCTACTCACTCCATCCAACTATGATTAAAATACAATAAATACCTAAACTGTCACTGGGAAAGTCACTATTCTCAAATACAGCCTAATCCATATTTGTTTCCTGGCTTCATATGAAAGAGTTAGTTAAACACGTGTTATCAAAAGCCACATGTTTACAGCTCTGATGGCAATATTCCAGTGGAATTAAATGGAACTTTTGCCAGTTGAATAAATTAAATATTTTTATTTCCAATTTTAGCTTCATCTGGATTAAAAAAAAAAAATCATCCTATGTTATTATACATTATGGTTACAACGGAACATCTTTGAAAGAGGACATTTTTGGTAGCAGTTTAATTTTTCATAATTGCAATATGCAGTTCTCAAAGGACAGTATTCTATTAAAGACAAAAGTACCTAAGATTTCCTTTTGTGCAGAAACCATGGACATTTAATTTTCTTTGCTAGAGAATGTGTTCACAATCTTGGTTTTGTTTTTAATAACAGATGCTATCAGAGGTATCTTTAACAGAGTGTTGGAAATAATTGATTTCAGTTGCTTGTGATCTCCATGGGGCTGAACCCAAGCCATTGATTATTTTGGATGGGACCAAGACATTAAAAAGTGGCTAGCATGATGGGGGAGAGAGACAATTTGATGGTATTGCTGAAGTATGTCCAGAGCACAAATATGAAAACAATTACTGGAATATGAAGCCACTGTAACTCAAATGAGAAATTTTGATACACACTTTTATCCCTGAGAGTGATTAACCATTGCAGTAACTTACATGGAGAGTGATGTCTCGTCTGGTTGACTTTCTGTAAGTTATGCTCTAATGAAATGCAAAGATGACCTTGATGGAAAGCGAAATGGGTGATTTTGAATGTTGTGTCATTCGTAGGAGGGATCCATTGACTATGACCAAGAGGTCTGTGAA